ATTGATTAAAATCTGTGTATGAAGATGATTTTACATGTGATCAATCATTTACTCTTATGGCATTATCTATCTTCTCTGTCAAGTTATAGCCTTCAACATCAGTGAGCTCAACCTTGCTAGTAAGGAAACAAACATGGCTGCAGGAGAGCCACATCACTTCAGATAAACAATGAACAGGTGTTGATTTACATTGGCTGCAGAATTATGATCTAGTTCCGCCCTACTCAACACTGTGAATGCACTTGTGCTTTTAAATTCTTCACGTAAGGTAAGTGATTATAAATGACTTATTAAGTAAACAATCAAAAGATGGGATAACTTTTAGGCTTTTCTAGTCTTTGGTAAATCCACCTCACTGACACTGTCTTTACGAGTATGAAAGCGAACTTCTCAGTAATGAAGACAGTACTTGAGTGAGTAGTGAAAATAAGACCTGAAAAAAATTCAAGCCTGTTCAGAAACACTGTCTGTATGCTACATTATGTTAGCTTCAGAAATTTAATCCATAGCCCAAATTGCTTAATGCTTAACTGTGTCATACCATCATCTAAACTAGTATTGCCATCACCATATCTAATAATGATTGTTGTTGTTATTGTCTTTTCAAACTGAGTTAGTTTTGTCATGTTTAGATCAAATGAAAATATACAGGATTAGCTTTGACTGCCACCAGATTCAATTTATTCCTTCAATTATTGATGAGGTTATGTATATTCAAATAGACTAAAAACTGTAATAAATAAAAACAATTTTGATGGACATGGAAAATATGCTCCTTTGATTGTTTACCTAACAGTATTAGGTAATTCATATAATCACCTAGTACATTGTATAAAAATAAAAGCACTAGTGCAGTCGGAAAGAATTGAATTAGGTCTTAATTCTGGAATTTTATGTATATCTAAATCTTTTACATAGTTGCCATAATCATAAGTTCTTTAAATCCCCACACTTCCCTGACAAATGTATAATTTCCCTTACTATTACTGAAGTGACAATTTTGCTAATGAACTTCAAGTGACTACTTTTAAAGTATGATAATACACTACTGCACATTACAGAATACAGATCACTAAACTGAGACATATTACTCTTTCTTTCCCGGGATGCCTTTTGCATTCTTGATAGTTACTTAAATGTCAGTTCAAACATGCAATATCTTAGCTTAAAGATGCTGTTCTTAAAACAGCCCAATTTAGGCAAACGATCTAAGACTCTTCATGATCTGTACTACAATACATCACTGATTTCCCATTCCCTTTCCACACAAGGTCTTTAGTACAAGTTTTACTCGACGTGTAAATTCAATGGTGATGCCTTGTTGCATGCATCTTGAAAGAGCAGAAAAGTAAAAACTTCATTAAATAAATCCGTAAAGCTGGGTTTAGGGTTAGTTTTTTCGGGCTGTTGGAGACAACAAGAATTGCACTCTCTTGCGGTTTCTCTGAGTTCACTACGTTCAATGCATTCAGTTTAAGTGGAAAAAATAGGGGTTGCTCAGGCATATTTTCACTTTTTATAATTGTTTTATTTATTTCCGTCATTAACTCAAAATTAATTTTAAGAATTTTTTTCATCAATTAACAATAGGTAAGGTAAATATATGTTAAACGCTTCACCGAGTTTTGGGAAATGCTACCGAAGGAAACATGATGAATCTCACTCGAAAGAGGTCTGTTCTTACTCAAACATCATTACGTCATAAAACAGAACCTCGTTACGTACACTGTCAAATATGTCGCCTTTTTTCTGCGATCTTTCTCGCGAGTTCAAAAACCCTCTAGACCTTTTTATTCATTTGAGTTAAATTTTTGTCACAAATATAGAGAAACTGCAACGGAAGAACCCAATCATGTGGCCCTTACACGCACCTGGTGGTGCAAGAATTGGTAACTCAGCGGTAGCTGGTGAACGACAAATAACAATAAAGTAATATTCCAGTAAGTGTCTTTACCTTTGTAGTGCAGCCCATTTTTTCGTACAGACAAGAGACCATGGTCAGCAGACAGTCGTTTTTAATATGATTTTCAATCTGTTACAATTAACAAGAAAAAATGCAAAAAATACTGTTAGTTTTGATACAATACTTTTTTCTAACCCATCACAGTTGAGTTTGTCTACCCCTTCCCAATAATTATGACTAACCCTATTGGGTGCTTGTGAGGCCGAAAGTTAGTCTCTAAATGCGCCACTTGCTCTGTACGTTTCTCAAAAAGATGATGGGACTTTTCATCGTAAGTCTCTCTAAACTAAATGTTTATGGTGATGTCTCGAAGGATTTACTATCTCAGTGAACCGATGATGTCAAATAATTGGGAGTACCCACATGATGCTATATGATAGTGGACTCTACATCATGGAAGTCTTTCTAGTGATAAAACAACAAGCCTACCTCCTCGTAGGCGACGGTCTCGCCACAGCTGTTTGGACATTCCAGCGGTTTTCTCGCGCAACTGTTAACATGTTCCTAAAAGAACAAAAATTACGTAATTACTTAAATACATCAAAGAGAACCCAAAATTCTGCCTGGTCATGGTTTAATGAAAGGAAAACAATCTAAATCGGCTTGTCTCATGACGAGAGCAGTCCAATGACTCGTGTAAGGAAGATTGTGTGTCATATTTCATTCGCGTGAGACAAATTTCACTTCCATTTATAATTGCGTACTGTTTATTCATGATGACACGTTTTCCAGTCAAGACATACTTGTAACTGGCACTTTGGCCGTGGCTCATTACAGTGATCACAAAAAACTTTCTTCCACTGGCATGTGTCGTTCATGTGATCTTCTAATTCTTTCCTTCTGATTAGCACTTGGCAGTTTTCATCTGTACAAGGAATAAGTTGAAAACTGCAAGACAATAGGTGATCCTGTTGAGGCAAGTTAAGTGTAAATAAATGATAGAAAAGAAAGGAAAGGGAGAGTATTGTGCATTCTAATGAGGACTATTGTGCATCACTTTGTTAATATACAGTATACGGTCTGCATTTCTTTGTTAAAAACCTTAGATAGTTATACTGAAACTAATACTGTATCTCATGGTGCTTTCCAACAATATTAAGGCACTTCTTTAGGATTTTCGATAAGGGGGTGAGGGGGGTAGGGGAGGAAGGGAGGGGAGGGAGGGCAGATCATATAAGTGTGCTCCCTGTACTGTATTTGAGATACTTTCCCTAAAAAGGGGTGATTTAAAAACTACTGCCTAAAGTAAATGGTAAATCGAAATAAATTACACAATCATGCAATGTTGTTCTGAGAAGAAAAAAGAAAACATTATCTTTATTGTCCCATCCACACAGCCAACCACTGGACAAAGCTACGAGCTAAAGGAAAAGACAAACTTAACTGGGAACAAGTAAGATCAATCAAATCACATCTGCATGGTCGTGAATAAATAGTATTTTTTTGAAAAAATTACCCGGAAAATGTTCCATTTAAACTTGATCTATTTAATCATGCCTTTCTGAGATGAATGAGTCTCTATCCTAATTTCTCTGCAAGATGCCATTTTTACAATGGCGTCGTTTTACTACGGGACTACTACAATTTATTTTGTTTTTCCTTTCAATGGAATTCAGTAATCCCAACAGGGTTTCAATAACAGTAGAACTAATTGAAAATTTAATAAAAAACCTTCAGGTTTGTGCCAATGTAACTAAAGAACAAATTGAATATATCAACAAAGTATAAATGGTAAATTGGCCACCGTTACAATT